TCTTTCAGATAGCTTAAAAAGTTTTTGAGGAAATTGATTACACACCAAACACCAGCTCTTGGGAGAAGAGGTAAGAAAAACTCATTAAAATCAACCTAATAAATACCTGGAAGTTTTACTCAAGTTTAGACGGTCTTCCGCTAGCAGTACCATACATAGGAGAAAGGGCTGCACGGATATTGAACAAAGTAGTACAAAAGTCTGGAGCCAGTCAGGTTGATATTTTTCCCACCACCGTCGTTGAAGGAACTTTTGACCTGCACATGAGTTCATGAAGGGAAGTGCAACCAATTTTCGTACTGCGCGGAGAAACCCATTTGTCATTTGCGTAATACTGCTTACATGATTAACAGAAAGCATTACGACTTCGTCTTAACGAACACAGAAGAGCATGTATTTAGCCTGCTTCTTATCATAACGAACGCTTCTCTGAGCACAGGATTTCGAAGCACGCCATGGAAGCACCCCCTAACTTCCAGATAACAGTGTTACATCGCAATAAATCAAACGCTATGGAGAGAAAGATTATGGAGGCGTATGAAATTAGGAAACACTAGCCGAAAATAAATAAAAGAAAAGAAATGAATGAATTCTTAATACTGATTTGTTGATCAACAAGCCCATAAATGGAGAATACATTTCATTTATTACTAACAGCACTGTACCACGCAGACGTTTTCTCCTGCCACTTAGCAAAACTTTATCCGGTCCTCTTATCTTCCTTATAAGATACAACTGCGCTCTGGCGTTTCTCCCTTCTCAGCATTGCACATATCGTAACTTAAGGTCTGATGATGGTTTTATGAGAAACCGAACGTCATCAATAAGATACAACAAACTTTTCATCGACAATTTACTATCCAAAATAACATGAAACTCAGGGATAGAAGTATACTGAAGCAGTATTGATTTATGAAATTGACGACGAATCAATTGCGGACTTTGCTCAGTTCAGCCACTTCAAGTATCTACAGCTGTCACGCACGCAAAAATCAAGACAAATCTCAAAAAGACCTGAAACATCTAGATACTATTAAAGCTAGCACTTTCCTCAGTTCAGGCACTTCAAGTATCTACAGATGTCACGCAAAAAATAGGACTTAAACGCAGTGTTGCTCACATTTTGTTTACATTGTCATCAAAAGCGCTTTAAAGGTTAGGCAATACGTACGAGGACGACGTATGCAGCGTAACGTGCATAAGGAGGTGAGGAGTACACGATGTACGCAGCGTACGCTTCATATCATTATGCACATTTGCCTACGCTGCGTACGTCGCGTATGCCGCTACGCCGCGCAGTCTAGCTCAATCTTAGAATTCGTTTGGAGACATTTAATGTAATAATCACATGCAGCAGATGAAAACTAGACCAATAAGTTTGACCTTCGTAAAATTACCCTTGGGTATCGGGAGCACTTGACCATGAGAAAATTGTCAATGCGTGCAAACTGTTGCAGAGGTCGTAGGAGCGTAAATGGGACGTCATATATGCCGCAAAGTAGTTCTCCTTGCCAAAAGCTCGCGAATTATTATTGTATCAATGTACCCTCGATCTTGCCCAATGTATTCCCTCAAAATGTCGCTCGACCTCGCTTCAAGATTGCGACACGTTGCGGGCGCATCTTTGACGTTGTGTGGCAAAAAAAAACAACGTATTATGTTGTCCCAAAACTGAACTCCTTTTTAAAATAAATTGAACTGTTTTTGTCACGGCCGAATTAAGGAACCACTCGATAGAGCGGATCAATCTCTACAAGAAGACCACCAAAGATCCACCTAAGTCGTAATCCAGGTAAAATTTGGGGCCAAAAATCGAAATTTTTCAGCTATCCTAAAAATTGGATCTCCTTCCAGAAAATTCCTATGGATTTCTAACTTCTTGGTCTTTATATAGTAGATACATAGTAGTACTCAAAAATGTATTTGGCGGATTTTTAGGGCTCAAAATTGAGAAAAAAAGATGGTTCAAAAATGCCAAATTCCACTTTCGGATTTTCTTTGTAAAACTTAGTATTTCTCGATTATAAGAGCACATTATAATAAAGCGCTAAACGTCTGTCTTTTTGTGCGTATGTGTGTGTGTTTGTCTGTCTGTCACGAAATTCATAGAGGCAGCTGCAGCAAAGCTATCGAGCTACAATTTTGCATAGCATACCGTACCAGCATGTAGGCTCACCATGCACAAGGACGAGCCGGTTCGATAAGCGGGTCCTGCAAAAATTGCGCCTCAAAGGGGTCCACGCTTGCTTTTGGCGCGCAAAACTAGGTCACAAATTCAACTTTTTGCAAAGTCCTGATTTGCCTGACAATCAAATCTGCGCTCCAAGAATTCTAGCTTAAAAAGTGCTCAAAAAGTTTGCTTTTCCGCGAAAACAGCGCCAAAAAGCAGTGATCGCGTAGAGAGTTGATTTGACAAGGTTTTACCTAAATTTCTGAAAAGTTTTTGCATGGAAATGTAGCCCAAAATGACTATTATCTTTATAACAATCACCAAGCCAAAATAAATTCAATAATTAATTCCTTGGCAAAAAAGTTTTTTTTCTCAAAATTACCGATCTTACATGGAGATGCTTCAAGAATGAACAGTTGTTTACGATTCATTTATGATGTACAGCCTCGCGCGGTGAGTTTCAAAGTCATCATTTTGGGAGCATGAATAAGGCATACGGATAACAGAGCCAGTGCGAACCCCCGCGAAGCGGAGGTGACGCACTGGTAAGAGCACATACAGGGATAAGGTTCAAAAGTTATACTTAGTAAGGGCTTGTAGTATACAATGACAGATGTGGGAGGGGCTGGGGCCTCGTTTCTCGCTTTCTACGCTCGGAAAAAATTCGGTAAAGGCATATTTAAGTACTACTATAGCTTACTGTATATTGACCAGGTTTGGAGGTTTGTAGAATTCTTTGTCGCAGAAATCAATTTTTAGGTGACAAATTTCCGATTTTGGCTTCAAACTTTCATGGAAACGACTTAGGCGGATCCTTAGTGGATATTTTGTAGAGCTTAATCTGCTTTATCGAATGATACCCTAAATCTACTAGAAAAACAAAAACAGCTTGAATTATTCAAAAAGATATGTTGGAAAGTAACATTTGTTGTTTTGTTTTGTGTTGTTATTGGCTTGTGATCTCTAGGATCTATTGGTATTGTATTGACCTATGCACGGGATCTGAGCGCTATGTAAGGCGCTCCCTGCTAGCTAGGTCATTTGTCTCGTCTTATCGTCTGTTCTTATTCAAATCCGGTCTACTAATAAATCTACTATTCTACAAGTGTCCTGGACCCACCATAAGTACAACTACAAGTAGAAAAAGAATGCTACAACGGTTTACTTTTGGGACAGCCTAATAGAAAGGCCTGTGCTACGTTGTTTTTTCCGCCACGTTACGCTAGGCGATGCTCCTGCAACGTGACGAAGCGAGGTGCGCCTCAATAATCCACAAATCCACGTCGAGCTAAGAGGATACATAATTTCAAGCTTACTCGCTTTCAAGTACCTACGACATTGAGTACTACCCTCGGTTTTTGAAGAGAAGTTCAGATACAGTAAACTGCAATAAAAGCAGTTACATCCAACAGAATAGTTTTCTCATCCATTTGCAGCCGAACGCATTTTTCGCCTTCTTCGAAGTACAGTTTGTTAGTACTCTGCTTAATTGTGACCAGTATATCTTGCAGTTTTCCGATTAGGCCTCTCCATCGAAGTTATCCATAATCTCACCGTCATTAAGAATCGGGACCTTTTACCGTCCGATTATTAGCTAATTTCTACTTAATCAGGCACATCTACATCAAAAACATTATATCAAGTGATGGGAATATGATGCGAAGAAGTGTATTTTTCAACATGGGAATATGATGCGAAGGAGATGTATATTTCAGCGATGTTTGTAGTGTATTGTGAAACAAATAGCTTGGATTTTGAATGCAGTGCCTCTTCATATCTGAAGTATAATGAAGTTCTTTGGTATCATTCCTTTTAAGCAATTCAACTCATAGAATAACAATATGGCAAGAACAAGGATATAACAGAATCTTCCAAAAGCTGATTCCGCTCTGCTGTGAAAATCGGCAGAATGCTCGGCTTTTGTGAGCCGGACGAGCGTATACAATGGCACATCAACGAACGGGCCGACAGATCTTAATGTCCACGCACGGTGTTTGCGGGGCGTTTGGAAAAAATTTTGTTTGAGTAATTGCAATTTCATCGACACTACCTAATCTTCTACTCCGCAATGACCATTACTCGATAGACCCGTCCTTCGCGAAAAACCTCTCAAAAATAGGATAGAGGCAATGCTGGCAACATGAGTTTCCCAAGCAAGAGTGCCTACTAGCGTGGACCTGACATGTCAACACACCTCCAGTGTATAAACTCGGACCGCATACTTCAATTTGACGGCCTTTGTTGCAAATTTGATGCCATAGCAATGCGATATATCTGATTGATCGAAAAAGCAAACAATGAAAATCCATATCTATTCTTTATTATTGCAAGCAGTCAAAGGATTGCGACTCATACAATTTAAAGCTGGTCACGGCTTTAGAAAAAGCATTATCAAAATTTGCATAAAAACACGCAGACAAAACAGCTTGATAACCAGCAGAGAACTGTGTACCAAGCTTGAGTGGTTCAAATGCGAATTTAATTGAAACATTCGATCAACATTCAATCAGAACTCCGTTTTAATTCGAGTCTTTGATTTTTATTCGAAACCTGTTTTGTAATCATTCGAGTTTTCGAATTTTATTCAAAAATGGAAGTCCAAGTTTCGAATTTTGAATGTCAGTACAAGCGTTTTATTCAAATAATGATTTTTTATTGAAATCGGAAGCATGTGTACTGTCCACATACCAGTTTTGTCGCTCAATCTCGGTATCACAAGGAGTTATATTGCCGTCACAAACTAGCCTATAATCTAATGTAACGAAAGTATAAGTGACATGTCTCCTTTTTCTCAGTTAAATTCGATATAGACAAATAACAATGCATTAAGGGCGTTGTGTGCATGTCTTGCGCAACTTCTGAGAAGAAAAGATCAATTCTGTTCCTTCTTGATGGTAGCGGAACTTTAGGAAATGAAGGCTGGAGAAAGGTAACCTTTTCATTTCTTCAACCAAACTAAACAATGAAGTATACAAAAGAAAGGAAACATTTACATTTTTCTTGTGTAAAAACCTTACAAGCTTTACGAACATTCAGTTTATATTAGTTAAGGTTAGGAAAATAAGGGGCTCTTTTCAAGAAGCAGTTTTCTCCAACATCTAAAAGATCGTTTTACATGTTAGAGAAGACTCTTGCGATTCTTAACATTCGTTTTACACTCTTGCGAATCTTATCATTTCGTAGATAGTATCCTCCTGAATGCTGAGCTGAAATCAGTCTTTATGGCTTTTATGTCATACTAGCTGGCATACCCGGTTCATGAGCCACGGAGCCATAGGAATGGGGAGCGCATAAAATATGTGTTCTGTTTCAAACTTACGCCTTTCCGTCTTTCATCCGGCTTCCATCTGCTGCATTTTTGCCCTCCCCCCTTTTCTTCTCCGGCCCTGCAGCCTATATCCACCTGCACGGTGCGTTGTAATTGCAAATGCCTACCTCAAAGCAGCGTCATCTAGAGGTACCGCATCCTTCTGACCGCAAAATGAGAATGAGCTTGTCTGCCATTGTTTACACCAAAATGTGCATGGGGTATGGTAGTGGTTGATAAGACTTCACTTTCATTGCAAAGTGCCGAAATTAATAAATCAATAGAAGGATTGAGCGAATCGCTTCAAAAAGTAGCCTAAAACCATCTACGGGGTCGAAAACATATATACGCAAAATTTCAGCTCAATGGGTTCACAAAAAGCGCGCAAAGGAGTCTATAAAAAACACACGGTCAAGAGTTGCACAAACTTTGAGATTTATATCATAACTTATAATAACGGGCTAAGGATGTTTACGTGACTTTGTGTGTGTGTGTGTGTGTCTGTCTGTCTGTCTGTAACGAAATTCATATATCGGGTTCCAGCCAACATTCAGAGCCCAAATTTTGCACAGCGTATGCTACCAGCATGAAAGTCCAACGTGCAAAAACACGAGTAAGTTCGTTGAGTGGATCCCTCAGAAATGGCGCACCAATCGGCTCCACCTGGCTTCTATACCGCAAAATTCGGTCCGTATCACCACTTTTTGCAGAGTCGTGGATGAGTTTGGTAAGGAAATGTGCAAGCGATGGAGTTTAGCCCGAAAAGTGGTCGAAAGTTTACTACATAACGAAAACGGCGCCAGAAAAATTGGCTGTGTAAATGGTCAATTTGCCGAGGTTCTAGCTAAGCGTTTGAGAAGATTTTCGCACAGAAATGCAGCTCACGGTTACTATAACCTTTATGGCGACTACAAAGCCATGACAAATCCAAAAACCTATTCAAATTTGCGTTTGTCTTCCTGCGAAAAGTTTCATCCACGCGGAATCACCGATCTCACGTGAAAAGACTTTCTAAATGAGTGTTTGTTTACATTTTATTCGTGGTAGTCGGCATAACGCGGTGAGTTCCAGTGCCACGATTTTACGAGAATGAGTAAGGCACATAGATAGTAAAGCCAGTGCGAGCCTCTGCGAAGCAGAGGTGACGCGCTGGTATATAGATACGGTTATAGCAGTGTGGACCGGGGCCTCCCCTCCCCGAGAATGGGCCGCGAAATTTTTTAAATTTACTTACGTGCATTATAAAAATGTGCAAGTGATTTGTTTATTCTTGTAAACAATTAAAATAATTTTTGAGAATTTTTAAAAATTTAAATTAGCCCTATAAAAATTTTTTTTCGGAGGCGTGCCTGACGCCTAGTCCCCTTTTTCCAAAAAATACAAGTTGGGGACCCGCAAGAATTTTGAGAAGCTCCCTAAAATTGTTTTATTTGAAAATAAAAATTTTTGCCCTTCTCCCCGGATGGAAATTTTGGGACCGCCACAGGTTACAGGTATTTTCCTTACGCAGCTCTTCGACATACTGTACACTCTCGACTAAAGCTATTGCGACGTCTTCTTGTGGATTCTGACCTTCGTCCGTCATAAGCCATCTGCTTGTCCGAACTTCGTAGTTTTGACATATTCTATGTCAAAGTCGTATTCGAGTAGGACTGGAGCCCTCATGAGACGGTTGGCGAAACAGATTGTATTCCTTATCACCGAAAATGGCTAGTAAATGTTGTAAACCGTTAGACAGCAGACATATCCGCCCAAATATGTGCTTTTGGAATTTCTTGACAGCGAAAACAATTCGCAATGCTTCCCTTTCGATCTGCGAATCATTTTTCTCAGCTTTTTAGAGAGACCACGATGCATGCCCAGGCGGCTTCTCGGATTCATCAGCATACCTGTGCATATCACGCATCCGGTTCCATAGTCGCTGCCGTCCGCTGCCACAACGACCTTCTATCTTGGATTATGATGAACAAAAAGTGGCTTAATGTTTCATTGAGCTTCTCGAATGATTCCTGTTGTTTCAAGTCCATTTCTGCTTCGCTTCGCATTCTTGAGCGTCGAATCCAAGGGTTCACACAGGTCTTTGTTTTTTAAACTTCACATAGTATGTTATCATGCCCAGAAAAGCTCTCAGTTGTGCAACATTCTTCGGTTCGTCCACATTGTTGATAGCTTTGATCTTTCTAGTTTCGGCCTTCTGCCAATTCTGTCCACTATAAAGCCAAGAAGTTACCAATGTACATTTGGTCTGAATCCGTATTCGGCGACTGTGCAAATACTGCTAATATACTGCTAACTGCCCTATGTGTTCATTAACGGTTCTTCCACAAAGTAGTGTCGTCAAGATACGTTGCCACATTTCACAAACCGCTTGCCATCTTATTCCATATAAAGCTGAATGTCTGTTTGTATGTCTGTCTGTATGTATGCGTGTACGTATGTGCTGAATAGAAATTTTTATTTCTAAACCGATTCGTACCAAACTTGGCACACATACACTTCGGGACAGAGAGCATGTCATAGGCTTCTCTTCGTTATCGATCAATACCGATTTTATCGATTTTTGCATACGAGGCTGGAAGATGGCATAGGGGTGTAAGGAGCATGGTGATTACAAGTATAACATTAGTTCATGGAAATATCGTCTTTTGCAAAGTTCAAGAAACAGGGTTAGGAGTTGGTACAGGGGGGGGGGGTAAGTGAGCACCCTAATCACGAATACAACATCAGATTTTGAAATTGTCGATTCTCTTTATCCATTCTATCGATTTTTGCAAAGTTCAAGCTACAGGGCTGGGAGTTGGGACAAAGGGGGAAGGCTTAAGTAGGCATTTGTACGAGATAGGAATGGGGCCTTATCAAATCATGACAGGGCCGAGCGGAGCCGAGTAAACCAGCTAATTTTAATCATAATTCGTTGAAAAATTCCTTTCTTTTGAGAACTCGGTACAGATAAGCGTCCTGTGGATTTATCTGCAAAAATATTATACCTCCATGAGCGCTGCGAATATATCCCCCGGTGATGGCAAGGAATAATCGCACGACTACTTGTTGAGTCCAGTTGGGAAATTAGCACACATTTTCAATACTCCGTTTTCATTGCATTCTAAATTCCCAACTCCTGTTCTTACTGCTATCGCTGCTTCTGTGAATTTCTTGTTTTAAACCATGCTAAGCAAGTGCTCTTCTCCCCGCCACTTGTTCGCAACTCTCTTTATGATCTATCTTCTCGCATTTCTTGCAAACCACTCTTTGCTTTGCGATCTCTAGAAAAGTATCCATCACCGCAGTTCCAGCGCTCCGGCACTTCCCTGCTTGTTGCTTCGACGTCTTTGAAGCAATCAGCAACCGTTTCACCATCTTTTATGAGACGGAAATTATCGCATTTCCGGTACAACTCAACTCCTGTAGCGACATCTCTCGTCCTTCCTTGTCCGATGGCAGGCAATTATTCGCTGCCTAATTTCAGCTTTCTTTTGCCTCTTCACGTCAAATATCCATAACGGGCATTTGATTCTGATCCAATAATTGGTACCAGTGGCACTGAAGGACTGCCGCTTTCAACATCTGCGCGCCGGTGGTGCTCAGATAACCGCCGGGGGCAGGCGGCCATGCGAATTTTGAGCAAGCGCGCACCGGAAAAATAGTTCGTTGATTTTTTGCGGCCCGCTTGCAGAAATTTGGAAGAAAGTTGGCAAAATTAAAGACGAATGCTTGAAGAACAATTGCGGTTTCTTTATGGATTAGCTGCGGCGCAGTGGCCGCATTCTCGCGGACTTTCCGCGAGAATATGCAAAAATTTCGAGGGCCGCACGTTCCTTTGTGGAGGACCGCGCAACCCCCAGGTACTTTCCGCTGAGAGAAAGTACCTCAAACTTGAGTAATTAAACCAACGGTGACACCTCTGCCACACAGAGTTTTACCTGCGCTCGACGTACGCCCGAAAATACCTAAAAAGTGTCCGAGCGCTTGCTGAAAGTTTGGCCAGCGCTCGCTGGAAGATATTATTTGACGAGCGCTCGCAGAAAATTCTGTATTGCTGCCCGCTGGCAGAACGCGGAAGTACCGCCCGCTGAAGGTTTGGCCACGCCCCAAAATTCTGCTGACCGCCTGCAGAAAAGCGCGAGTTTGCGGACCGCCTGCCCCCGGCGATTATCTGAGTGGGGGAGGCCTCTGAAGAAGACGAATAGTTCGAAACATTAGGCCGCTACTTACACTGCTAACCTCGGCTGGCTTACTAACCTACTCACAACATACTAACAATGCCGAGGTTAAGAAGGGAGGAAACTTAGAAACTGTAGCATCAAAGGTTTATACAGAATGTCCGTAAAGTATGTATACATTGTTTAATCGTTAATATCTCTTTTCCAAAGAAGCCTCTTGCCTACCTCTAAGCAACATTTTGTAGAGCTGGCTTCAACTTAGATCTACAGTATGGAGCGAATCACCGGTCGCTCTTCATTACTGTAGGATTACGGTAGAAAATCCAAGAAGGGTTGTGAGCCATCAAGCACGCTATCGCCTCAGGAAACAAGGAAACAACCAAACTTTCATGCTAGGCCAACTGAAGCCGCTAAAACCAAATATGGTTTTTGTACTTTGCCATAATGCTTCATTCATAAGTTATACCAAGTAGACCGCAATAGCTGATTTACAAGACTAAAATCGAGATTACACCATTTCAAAGCTCTACTCGTTAAAAGTTGAATAATAAAATCAGCGAACTTGAAAACCCTAGTACAACACCTTTCAGATTTTTTGGGAACTTTTTTGAAACAAGGTAAAACCGTAATGACATTGTAAGCTGAGAGTTCCTACCGTAATCTTACATTAGCGAGGAACGACCGTTCCATGCTGTAAAACTAAATATAAGCCAGCTCTACAAATTCGTGGATAGAGGTAGGCAAGAGACTTTTTGGGAAAAAGAGATATTAACGATCACACAGTGTATACATAATATTCCACGTACAACTATTTCTGAATCTTGGCATAGTGTCAATTACGGTATATGATGTTACGCTCTCCAAGATTGGTAGTTCCTTCCTTTATTGTCAGTAACAGTCAACAATCAGTACGGTCTACGTTTCGGCGGAGATCGCCATTTTCAAGACCTAAAAGAGAGTCAGCGTGTGCAGTAATTCACTCCAAGGGTAGACATACCTTTAACAATACTGTATAGGGTGCGCCCACCACTCTGACAACGTGTCAGACCACTACTCGCCGTTTACTGTGATGGAATGAACTTTCCTTTTATGGTCAGACTCGAATTCACACATTTGTAGGAAAGGGACGAGTTCATTATTGACGGCCACCCTTTCTCCTTTCCTGTTTACTTCAAAGCATCTGCATGATATCCAGCAAGCCTCTATGGCTTTTCGTGCGGCGATATTCGTTTCTTTGGATAGAACAGATATGCTGATTTCAAACGCCATGTCCTGGTGGGAAAGTTTTCGATGCGCGCCCAAAGGCGTAGACACTCGCGATTTTCGCATTCCATCCAAATGTTCGTTTGTTCTAAGGCACAACGGTCTTTCTGTTTCTCCAATATATTCTTCACCACACATTTTTTAAGTTATAAGATACACAGTGCCTCGGCACATGCAGTCTCCCGGTTTATTGGAATTGCACACAATGCAGTCCGCCTTCACACACACTTGATCATGACTTCTATTACTTACCAGGAGCTGCTTTAGCTTCAGAGGTGGGATTTCGACAAGTCTCAGCGAATTTTGCAGGCCGGATTTATATATGCAACACCTAATCGCAGCGCTTAACTCATCAGATATAAAAAGCATAATGGCACTCTATCGTTGTTATGGCTGACATCGTTGAAAACTTTAGCACTACGATGATCGCTTTTGCTTCCCCGCGGCAGGTAATCATTTGCTTGCGCGATTTGGAAAGCCTGCTCAAGTGATGCGGACTTGAGAGCGTCATTAGAAGACATTCCTCTTGTTGTGCGTAACATGTTTCGGATAATGCTAGGTTTCATTCGGATCGGGTGTGCAGAGGAGAAGTGAACCAGTATGTTTTCGTTGGTTGGTTTTTTGAACCAGCTAGTTTTGTATTCTCCTTTGTGTAAGCAGATCTGGACATTTAGAAAAGGTAGCCATCCCTGCCTAGGCGTTTCTATCGTAAATTTGATGTCAGCCATTTGATGATTTAGTGTTCAAAACATAGGTCCATTTCCGCTTGTGTGGGGCAGACGATGAGTGTGTTATCGATATATATTAAGTAAAGGATAGGTTTGCGGTTGAAAATGGGTTCTTCTATTTTTGACATAAATACAACTGCTAAGATCGTTGCCAAACGCTAACCCATTGCGAGCCCGCGGATTTGTTTGTGATACTGTCCCGACCATTTGAAAATCGAACATTCTAAGCATTCTTTCAACAATGTCATGACTTGTTGGATGTTCAAGCTTTAGAAATTGATGCTGTTGCTTTTCTCGGTCAGTAATTCGAAAACAGCTTGCAAAGCATCCGAGTTCGAAACATTTGTTGGAGCGAAGTGACGTCAAAAGATTTAATGACGTCATGCTCACCGAATTTAATATTTTTCAAATGGTCAAGCAGAGCATTTGTGTTGGCTAAGTGCGCGGGTATGTAGGTAATAGTTGCGTTAAGATTAGATTGAGCGACCACAATATCCTGTGCGTGGGACCATCGACATTGCTTACGATCGGGCGAACTTTGTAGTCCAAAGGATTTCGTGGATTGAGTAGGTCAGATGGTAATTCGTGTGTTTTTATGAGGACATATAGCACGGGACACAGTGTTAAATAAATTTTCGGGCGGAATACGGTTTGCTTAGCAAGACCTGCTGCTCGCGCTATCTGAATCCAGAGTCTGTTCAACTTTTTATATTGCTTTGTGAATTCTTTTTTAGAAGACACGCAATATGTTGTTTTGTCTTGGAGATGTTTCTGAGTTACGGCAATCTCCAATTGTTTCGGTATGATTATGAATTCACCTCCTTCATCTGTGATTCCAACTTTGATGTTTGCAGCTGAGAGCTCTCGAAGTTCCTTCAAATCTTTTCTCTGCGATGGCGTGAGGTTAGGCACCCGATTAGTGCGGCTATAACGCTTTAGTACAGTGAAGACCGAAGTAGCAAATACTTGAAAAAAAGAGTCGATGGAAGGTATCGGCTCTTCTGGTTTGTAGAACATGGATGGGAATGGCATCGCGGGCAGTGTTACGCCCATTTTAGGTTTAGCTTGTTGTTCCAGCTTTGCTTTGTATCGTAAGCGGTCTTACAACAAGATGTTGTTGTAGGATTAGCTAAACTCAATCAAAGCAAAGATGACGGGCTCAAAATTTGGAAAATTTTTCCGACAACTAATAAGTCAACTGGGCCAATGGCCTCACTGCTGAAAAGGGAAAGAAAAGCTATGTTTTATATAATTTAAGTTACTTTTCTATCGCTACTCTACACGGGTTGCGAAAGGTTCGAAATGGGGAGGCAAAAGTTCTCATTACTTTTGACTCAACCTAATAGCTACGCCTGTAACGCTGGCCATTTGCGCGCGCAAAATGTTGGCGTTACTGGCGTGGCTACTTGTTCACGCGCAAATTCTACCACATTTCACCTTCAGTGCAAGCACACTATATTAAGCGGAAAATCTACTCGACTGTAGGGTTCTCGACAATGCTTACGAGCTGGCAACCTCGGCTCGGTTCGTTCCTGTTAGTTATAATTTCGTCAACTCACTTACCTCCTGTGCCAACTCAGCCTCGTAGGTGGATCTTAAATAGTCGATAATCATCGACTAGTGGCGAAAAGTAGTCTATGGCACCCGCTCGCATGCACTCACAAGGGAAGTTCACTTAGTCGAAGTGGCAATTTGGAAGGTGATCTATACCAATGCATAGAGCTCGAAACGCTGATCTCAAATACACTTTCTATATCTGCATTGTTGTGAAGAAAAATTATGAGCTTTTCTAAAGTCAAATTTACGTGCAGTTTGAGTCGCCAAATCATGATAATTTTTACACAGAAGTGTGCAAGCTTAAGCAAACCACCTAGTAAGCATTGTGGGTCTAATTTGGTTTTTCCGAACGCTTTCGAGTGTTTTCCGACTATGTTGTTTACCCGAAGGTCGCCTTTTTTCTAGATCACACTTCCATTATACATGCAAAAAAGCCCATAACTCCATCTAGAAAAAGGCGTCGCAGATATTGAAAATATATTTGAGAACAGCGTTTCACGTTCTATCCCTTGGTATACATCATTTTCCGATTCGCCACTTCGACCTGGCGAACTTCCCTTGTCAGAGTGAATGTGTTCCAAATCGTCCGGACCGGTTCATTAAAAAAATTGTCTGGAACATGCGTGCACACATACACACTTACACATAGACCCACAAACAAGCATACAGCTTTGTCTATGCAGATTGTACATCAACATCAGTGGCGTACCGACCCCCCCCCCCCCTTGAGAGTCGAAGTTTTTGAAAGTCACTTACATGGGTTATACATGTGCAAGTGATTTTTTTATACGCGTAAATAATTATATTAATTTTTAAAATCTTCTAAAAAACCAGTATAGCTTTCGGAGGAAATTGCATTAGAAAGAGATTTTTGTCCCCCTCCCCCCCCCCCACGAATGCTGAGTACGCCACAGATGACAGTGGGTCACTACAGCCTGTGTTTGCATAGGGCTCAAACTGATTTTGTTAACGCATATCAACATACCGCTGACATCAGTCACATCGATTATGACCGCTTTTCCTCCCAACCCTTCAGTAACCCTCCAGGTGTGGCGTACCACACCCCATGCCTGGTGTTGACTCCGGCGGCTTTCACTTCTCAGAACGATTTTCTCGCTTCCGAATACATCTTTTGCAGCGAGACTTGTGATACCACTTAGCTGGGGCTCTACCGTACTGCATCTAAATTAAGAACCTTATATCAAAGTAAACGGTGCCACCAACACTAGAAACACTCCCCGGTCTATGTAGGGGCAGAGTCCTGTTTTTTAAACTCACGTCTGATTTCTTAGACGTAGTAAAGCCTGCGACTAAAACTGCGCAAATTTGAAGATTTATCGGAAAAGATTTGAAAGGAAATAAATGCTCTCATCAAAACAAGGCGAATATTCAAGAGTAATTTGAAAGATCTCATAAATTTCTTGTTTTTCTCGGAAGGGATTTCATAAAGGCTTGCAAGGATGTGAGAAAGTCTCTTCACACTTGTTGTTTTGCTCGGATTAACAATCGAAAACTGCTTTCTACATTACAGGAGCTCGAATTCATATCCACAATTAGCAAAGGTGTTGGAAACGCCAGAACTGCGGTATTATTCACAGGACGTGACGAAGAAATGGTTACCGCAATGGCTTTTGGCCGCCACAGCAAAGCAGATCTCGAGTGGGTTTCAAATGTTGAAAGCGCGCAAAGCGCAAACATTCATCCACTTTAGATATTCAATTTATAATTCCAAAGTCTCCAAAGTTTGCTCTAGGTTAACGGTTTTGACCGCGTATTATTGCGACCTTCAAACAAATGTTATGTCATTTTCCGCTTCTGCAGTTCATGATCTTCCGGCTGGCATCCCCGGCCTTAACCGGGGACGGTCTGAATCAGTCCATACTGCGATGCGAATCCTCGTTTAAAGAAATGCAGTCTGCCCCAAATGGAATCAAGCTGGATTGTCGGAATTCGCGCTGCAGCGCCAGAATTTGCGCTACATAAGCGCGCTGTCGCAAAGAGCGAAGAGATTGAGGAGAAAGCAAATTAGCTAGCCGTGACGGACAATACCTTCGCGACACAGAGTCCCGCCATGCCAAGTCTGGCCTGGTTGGGATTGAGGCAGACTGTAAGCTCGCTTGCTTTATGAAACCTTGCGTAAAATGAACTTCACCTTAGTTTATGCGAAACAGGAAGTTTGTTTGGTTGCATTTAAAGAACTAGTCTTGTTAGCAAAACGTTCCAAAACAAAACCGATACAAGAACCGAGGAAGTTGCCAAAAAAAAACTCCACCAAAGTCGATAACATATATGTGCAAAGTTTCAGCTCTCATGAAACTGTCTATTCTAAAAACGAACACGACAAACGTCATCAAGTATTAGGTTGTAACCGAATTAATGCAGGTTTTTCTTTGAAGTTTTGTTTGGATAACTCAAAATGTCTACATAAACAATCTTTTCGTGTGCAGTAAAGAAGGTTGTGATTAGCAAACCTTTGGCAACTTAGTATACATTATTTTGTTGTTGTAGCTTCACAGAGAAAAATCTTATAGCCGAAAAATTGTCACAAATTTTCTATAATGACCTTCACTTAATAACGCTCTATTTCGGTTGCTTACTAATCTTAGCATAAAGTTGACCACTGTTATATTCTTCTTCAGTCTGTCACATGGCTGACCTTTCAGAAGCTTAAGGGGCTCGCCAAGTATTCAACCGTAAGGCGCACTCCGCATACGGTGGTTTGCTCACGAAACGGCTCTCTCGGTAAGCGCTGACTCGATTCTTCGCATTGTTTTCGTTTCAGCTCTTACCCATGACGCTGTTTATGTCTTGTCGTGGGATAGGTTTTTAAGAAAATAGCACAAGTGTTTTGTGATCTTTCTATGAGAAAGGCGACGACATCGAAATGTCAGCCGTAATAAAGTTATCAACAATCTTGGTGACACGCTGACAAAGATTATAGCAGTGATCAACCTTCACTTTGAAAAATCATAACTTATCAAATTTAGTAGAGCGCAGACATAACTCATTATGTAGGCTATAATCGGCTGTGCAGCGGCGCCAGACTCTATCTCACAAAACCTTTTTGCGAGAAGATACACTAAAAAAGTTTTGAAAATTTTAAAAACATTTTTTTCAATTTTTAAGGAGGTTGAAAATTGCACTTCTAGAACTTTGAGTTTAAGAGAATGAAGGAAAAGAACGGTTTCTGGTTTCTTAGTTATAAAACTAGCTTAAGATTTCGGTCTCATCCGAAATTATATTAGTTAGGCCAACAAAATGCGTTACTTACGCGTCTAAACTCCTTCTACCACGCGCGAAAAGCGCTTTGAAACGAACTGTAGCACTCTGCCAAATTTGAAATTAAAATGAGCTTTGCTGCCCTTGCTTACATGTTCATTAGAAAATGAGTGGATAGATCATGAGAAGCTTTCATTTTCCTAAATGTGAGCAAACAAATCGATACGTCTCTGGAAAAACCCTGCGAATCGCCTCAAAAAGCAGCCTATAATTTGCGCAGGAGTGCGCAGGAGCGAATACATAAGTGTGCAAAGTTGCAGCTCGGTCGTTTCAACGTCGAACGTTCTTATAAAACACAGACAGATAAACCGGAATCTTACAGTCTGCTCCAATCGGGATCAGGCCGAACCGACGGCTGAATTTGCGCGCTCGCAACGCTAGCGATTTGCGCTGCATACGCGCGCTGTCGCAGAGAGCGAAGAGATTGAATAGAGGGCAGACTGGCTAGCCGTAGACATGACGCAATACCCTTGCGTCACGGGTTCCCGCCATGCCAATTTTGGCCTGGTTAGGATTGGGGCAGACTGTACAGACAGCATTGAGTTTTATTTATACAGGGTGTCCCAAAAAATGTCACTGTTTGATTGTAATTATGATAGACGACGTCGAGTAGCGTAGACATGACTTATTATGTAGGCTATAATCGGCTGTGCAGCAGCGCCAGACTCTATCTCACGGAGAACTTTTTGCGAGAAGATATACGAAAAAACTTTTGAAAATTTTGGAAAACCATTTTATTCAATTTCCTAAGGAGGTTGAAAATTGCACTTCTGGAACTTTGAGTTTAAGAAAATGAAGAAAAAGAACGGTTTCTGGTTTCTTAGTTATAAATTACTAGCTTAAGATCCCGGTCTCACCCGAAATTATATTAGTTAGGCGAACAAAATGCGTTACTTATGCTTTCAAACTCCTTCTACCATGCGCGAAAAGCGCTTTGAAACGAACTGTCGCACTCTGCCAAATTTGAATAAAATGAGCTTCGCTGCCCTTGCTTACATGTTTATTAGAAAACCAGTGCGTCACCTCTGCTTCGCAGAGGCTCGCACTGGCTCTGCTATCTAGGCCCTACTCATTCTCGTATAATGATGGCATTGGAACTCACCGAGCAATGCCGACTATCACGAACAAAATGTAAACAACTACTCATTCCGAAAGCTTTTGTATGGGAAATCGGTGATTTCGCGTGGATGAGACTTTTTGCAAGAAAACAAATGCAAATTTTTATAGGTTCTTGATTTTCTCATGGCCTTTACAGTTGCAATAAGAACAGCAGTCACCGTGAGCTACAACTTTGTGCAAAATTTTCGTCAAATGGTCTGGTAAAACCTTGGCAAATTGACCATTTACGCAACCAATACTTTTTGGCGCCGTTTTTGTAAAGTAATAAACTTTTGATTACTTTTTTGAGCCTAAGTTCATGGCTTGCACATTTACTTGGCACAAACATCCACGACTCTGAAAAAAGTGGAATTACGGACCCAATTTTGCGGCCCAGACGCAAAGTGGATCCGTTTGACACGCAGTTTCTGAGGGATCCACTCAACGAATCTGCTCGTTCTTCTGCATGTTGGAGTTTCATGCGGGTAGCATGCACTGTGCAAAATTTGAGCCCAGGAGGTTGGCTGGAACACGCTCTACGAATTTCGTAACAGACACACTCTCAGACTCACACACACACACACACAAAGTCACGTAAACATCCTTAGCCCGTTATTATAAGTAATGATGAGCGGTTAGAGCATGAGAAGCTTTCAATTTCCTATGTGAGCAAACAAATCGATACATCATTAGAAAAACCCTACGAATTGCCTCAAAAAAGCAGCCTATAATTTGCGCAGGGGTTGAATACATAAGTGTGCAAAGTTGCAGCTCGGTCGTTTCAACGTCGAACGTTCCTATAAAACACAGGCAGATAAACCGGAACCTTACAGACAACACTGAGTTTTATTTATACAGTTTCCCAAAAAAATGTGTCCACTGTTTGATTGTAATTATGATAGACGTCATAGTCTAGTGCGATGTGCGTTACTGCACACAATTTTGAAATCCCGGATGAGGTGCTAAGCTCCCGCCATGTCGTACTTACACCAAGTGCGCATACGGCTAAAATTCAACGCCAAACTTTTTTTTTTATTTTGGTGTTTTTTTGCTCCTTTTGCTGCATGCACGGTTTAGTTTTCAATGATTTATTACCTTTACACTCGTGCATTGCCGTTTTAGATCGGATATCCCAAAATTTATCACTTCTGATCTCAGGTAAGGAAGGCACATGGGCAATCTTGCAGGATTGTGAAGTGTGTTTTTCAGTGTTGTCGTATGTAGAAAGAATAGACTGTTTTTTAAACAATACGAGTCTCAACTTCTTTTTGATTGTTATCGAAAATCCTGGTTTTTTATGCCGAGTTTCAATGAGAAGCTGTTTTCAAACAAAGGATTGCTTCCAGCCGAAAATTTTTGCTGTTAATGCGATGTTTGTGAATTCAATGGATCTTGTTTAGCATCGCAAAGCACACTTACTTCACAATCCTGCAAAATTGCCCATGTGCTTTCCTTACCTGAAACCAGAAGAGATAAATTTTGAGATATTCTATCGAAAACGGCAATGCACGAGTGTAAAGGTAACAAATCATTGGAAACTAGACCGCGCATGCAGCTAAAAACAAAAAAAAAACCAAAATAAAGAAAAAACGGGCAGTTTGACGTCAAATTTTAACCGTATGCGCACTTAGTGCAAGTACGGCACGGGGAAGCCCAGCAGCTCATCCGGAAATTTAAAATTGTGTGCAGTACCACGCATCGCACCGATGTGACTAGACGGATGAGGTCTATATAAATCTCTTGTAGTGAAGTGTTTCGAGGCGCTTTAGGTACCGTTTTGTAGAGCGAGGTTAAACTTAGATTTACTGCTCTTCATTACTGTAGGATTACGGTACGAACTTTGACAAGGATTTTAGACTATTGGAGGCTATATTGCCTCGGAACAAAACTAAACAAGCCAAAAACTCCTATACTACGGTAATGGAAACCGCTGACTTCGAATTTGTAATTCCCATTCTACTGTGAAGCTTCTTTCTAAAGTTATCCCTGGTAAATCGTAATTACTCAATTCCCAGCATTTGTCAGAAATGTAATTACACCGTCGGAAAAGCTGCAAACACTTGCAAAAAAATGGCTAGGTGGACTCAGCATGCGCGAAAACCCTAGTACACGATTTTATTTTTCAGATTAAAAAAAATTTTGTCAGGTGGTATATTTCACATTGGTTCCATATGCTGGAAGTTCGTATCGTAATCCTACAGTAATGAAGAGAGATAGATGATTTCCTCCATACTGTAAATCTAAGTTTAAGCTCGCTCTACAGAACGGTACCTAAAGCTTCT